TGGCTTCGAAGCCATGCAGCTAGGCTGTGCACCTGGCCAGCTCGCAGCACGCACGCGAGACGAGGAGTACCGTGCGAGAGAGCAAGCGGGAAGGACAGTAGAGCCACGCAGCAGAGCCGTGCGTGAGAGAGAGAAGCGCGTCGTTTCTGAGCGCACGTTGTTGTGAGAGAGACGCACGTGTAGCAAAGCCACACAGCAGGACGGCGTGTGAGCGAGAGAGAGTTATAAGTCTACAGTGGACACGTGGCAGTGCCGAGCGAGGGACGGACAAGCCCAGCGAAGGAGGAGAAGAGGAGACGAAGGCGCAGAGCATCCACCGTGGGTCGACGGACGACGACGGAGAGGGACAGAGAGGAGGAGGAGGAGGAAGGGAGGCAGAGAGAGAGGGACAGAGAGGAGGAGGAGGAGGAAGAGAGGCAGAGAGAGAGAGACGACGCGCAAGCGTGATTTACGTTGGTTCGTTTTACTTTGCGTTGATTGTATAATTCTGGAGCAATACGCGTAGCGGTATGCACGCGTTGATCGTATAACTCTGTAACAGTACGTGTGGCGGTATGCGCGCGTTGATTGTATGATTCTGTAACGATACATATAGCGGTATGCGCGCATGGATTGTATGATTCTGTAACAATACGTGTGACGGTACGCGCGTGCGAAAGGCCGTACGAGTGCGTCAGTTGCTGATGCTGATATTAATTGTTGGTGTTGTTCATTGATATTGATATTGATTGTGACATTGATTGTCGGGTGTGGATATTGACTATCGAGGTGTCGGTGGTGTATGAAAATACATGCTAGCGCCTTGACATTACCCCCATCGTTTCCCTGGTTTCTTTTGCGCGTGACAGCGGCGCGGCGTGATCATACAAAAAACGAGTATGCACAACTACACGTTGACAATGGTGACCACGACGTGATCAAGCCAGTAAGCCGTACGCTACACCGCGCAAAGACCACGGTTACTACCCCCCGCCCGGCAGCAGCAAAGCCGTCGCGAGATAACGCGCGTGACCACGTGAACCACTGAACAATGATGTGTACCACTGTGGCGAGGGCAGGGTGAACTTTGACCTAACGTCGGTCGCTATCGCTGCAGTGTGTTTGCGCCAGTCGCCGCGACTTTTGTCGTTTGTCGTTACGGTCGGTCGCTGTCGCTGCAGTGTGTCTTGGCCTTTATGCTAAGATCCTTAGATCCTTATCCTGACACTTAGCAATAGTCATTACCGTATATACTCGCATAATAACCGCAAATTTGGCCTCAGATTTCAACCCTGTATTTGCTCTGCGGTTTACAAGTGCGCCATACCGTGAGGGGAAATGTACTAAGCGCAATACTTACGCGGGGTTATTACGCGATCATATACGGTAGGTATTAGTCATCAAAAGTTATTAGAAGAAGTAATAGTTAGGATGGTAGGAAAACATATGGTGATGGCTTCGTTCACCTCAGGGAAGGAAAAATAAAGACCAATATGTGATAATATCGATGAAAGGTGTGCTTACACTGATATCGTGGCAGGAAACGAGCCCATCCTGGTCACATGACCACAGATGGCCGTTCTTTTCTTTCACCCGCCTTGCAGAACCAATCTTGTTCTTCAAGACTTTCTCAAGGTCACCAGTCTGAAACGACGTGTAAAGGCTGCATGAAAAAAACGAACAGCTAATGTGGCTCCATCTACAGCCACAACCTAACAACTAATCACCCCATAGACTCGCACCACTTCTGTTCTTAACCAATAACAAGTGCCGCAGAGCGACAGCGCTCAACTGACGTGTACTGTAGCCGGGTATTCTTCTGATAAACTCACTGGCAACCGAATCAAGTGCGCCCTCCCGCCACCGCGTTCGCGCCCAGAGCATATATCTAGGATACTACTAATACAGATATAAAATCTATGATAGGCTCTGCCATACTGGTAGTACAGTAATAAAGATACAGCTGTGTAACTTTAATGACTTCACTATATTAACATGTTATCATGGATATGCGTTGAGCGCGAGCGTAGTGGTGGTGGTGGGAGGAGGGTGGGAGAGGGGAGGGGGGGTTGGAGTGGGTTCTAATAGCAAAAGCAGTTCAGTCCTTTGTTAACAGTCAATAAATCCGTGTTGACCTCTCCTCTTGAGGGTCAACAGGTTATCAGACACTTACTCTCTCGCACGTCAGCGGAAAGCAAATTTCATGGTCCTTTCAATAAAGTGATAAAAATGGTAGGTCAGCGCTGAAACAAAAAAGTTTTTCACTCGGTCCGTTAGACCATGTCCTCAGAAAATGTCTGATATCTGACCTTTCCCCCACTGCCCTTTGACCTGTGACCTCCAATTTCGCGCTGGTGATGGGTTTCCTCCCCATCACACTATACATCGAATATTAAAAGCGTAGGTCAAGCCGTTGAGATTTGTGCCGCAATTCCGTATTTCCTCCTATACCTTAAGTTAAGGGGGAAATATTCCCCCTCCATTGACACACTTTGACCTTTGACCCATAACCCACAAACCGAGTCCTTTTCGCGATTTCCCCCCTCTCCCCCACCCAACCCCCCCAACGTTCCAAATATCAAAACCGTACGTCGAGCGGGTGCCATAACTGTTGACAAACGGACGGACTCACGGACGGACATTCATGCGATTCTACAAGCTGCATCTGACTTTGTCAGCTGAGCAAAAAACTGTAGCTTCAATGAAACACGTGCACGCCATGCCTATCAACACTATAGACTGATTCATGATAAAGTGCATAGAAAATAGAATGTGACAGCCAAAATGAAACCGTACATTAGTTAATAAATCCAACATTACTTACTATAAGTACGTAATGCTGACTTTGTATATCCACTAATATAAAGCCAGCTATGATACTTACGTAGAGGTCGTGAACTAGCACTCTCCCATCTCCAGCTGTACTGAGCACCTTCTGGCTTGCAACCTACAGCAAAGCACAAACCACAGGTTATAGTCGACAAACATAAAATCAGAGGGGGAATAATGAACAATTTCTCATTATTCACCCCTGATAACATCCATGGTACACTAATCGAGCAAATACAGGCAATTAACAATTAACTTAGTATAAATTCGAGGGAAAGAAAACATATATCTGTTGCTATGATCAACTAATGGCAGTATTAAATGCTTTAACTAGACTGCATAGTGACATGCAAGCAGTGTAAGGTAAAGACAACATACACCTGTCGCTATGATAATTACTGGCAGTATTAAATGCTTCCTGAAGGCAATTCACACTGCTCTCAAGGATCTTCACAAATCTCTGGCAGCCTTCATTTCACTGCAAGCCTTCTAGCATAATGAGATGCATCGCAACAGTATATTGAGCCAGCCAGCCTGGCCTGAGAGTCACCGTTGAATAACCGATCGACAGCCTTACCACGAGCGATATAGGGATGTTCTTGTGTCCGTTGAGCATGCGCAGGAAGAGCCCCGTCGTCGCGTCGCGCAGAGTGATCGACTTGTCGAAGGATGCGATGACAACGAGGTGACGCGAGCCCTCCCGAGCCGTTGCTAGGCAACATATGACGCGCGTGGAGCACGGCCAATCGTCAACCACCTTGCCCGTCTGTAACAGCAGCAGCATCTTAACATCAACGGGGTCCGAAAAAACGTTTGTTAACACCGGGTACACAGTCTAGTGAGAAACCCCTTCCCTCCCGTGTTACGTGGGTTGTGCACGCAGCATCGCGCGATACATGTATATTTTCATATTCGTGCGCACAGCACCAGTAGCTACCTGTTATTGTCGACAAAAACCCGAGCTATCTTTGTAGTACAGTCAAACCTGCCAGTAGATCACCTTTTACAGAACAGACATGATACATCTGACTTAAGACACTTTTGATTGTTCAGTGGCAACTATACAATAAATATATGGACCATACTATAGAATGGACATCTGTCCATTCCTGTTCCTGTTCATTCCATTCCTGTTCATAGAATGGACATCCTGTCAGGATACTTTTGGGAAGGAAGTTTTCTTTGACTGAGCCTTATATACAGGACTGTAACAACAATGCAGTATTAATCCCCACATAGTGACTACACGAATGAACATAAGTCTAGTACTGAAATCCAGTATTAGCATGTGGTGAACAGTACAGTCAGTCGCTCACCTTCATTTTCACGTGCAGTACGTGACCGTTTGCAAGTCCCAGGTAGATATTTCCCAGAAAGCTATTGCCACACATCGCGTGAATCCTCTCTCCCACGCGAAGCTGCTTCATCAGCTTCCCACTCTGAAACACCGCGAGGGCTTCACTCAATGCAACACTCACCAAAATAGCATCCGACGTGCAAACGTACACGGATTAGTACTTACTGGTACTTATACTACTTACTAGTAGTATACTACTACTTACTTGTATAGTTACTTACTACGACTTCGTTCCTATTAGTACTTAGTTACTAGAGGTGTTAAGATACCCTAAGGTCACGATATGATATGTATTGCGATACACAGACAAAAAGATAATATATATAATATGTATCCCAATACTTTCGAGTACTTCGAGGCCATACTCATATATAGTAAACAATTTGTTACTATATATAAATATATATATATATATGATGATAATATGATATATATATGATGACCTGAAGGCAATTTTAAGAACGAGTTTCAGTCCGACGACTTAACACGTACCTCGACATCGAAGCATCGGAGTGTCTCGTCCAGGCAGCCCGTGTAAAGCCTCATCTTCGTTGTCTTCTGTGCGCACGCGAGGTATATGGAAGTGACGGCCTTGCTATGTTCCCCGTAGATGTTCAAACACTGACCACTCTATAATTACATCAATGACCGTGCAGGAAAGGGACACACACGCACAGACTATGCCATTGTGCATGCACGTGTGCATTGATGATCACAAACCAGTAAGTTAACTTGTGCTATTAAAAATTTGAAATATATAAAAAAATATTCTTAATAGATATACACTTTTTATAAGGCTTTCTCGTGACATGGGTGTGATAATATATATGCTATTATCACTACACCTGTACTTACCACTAGGTCAAATCGCAGGGCAGTGCGGTCTCCGGAACAAGTGATGAGAAATGCTTTCATCAGCTCAGCATCTTCATAGATCTAGAAAATTCCACGACACTTTTTTCACCTGAACTACTTTTCGTCTAGTTTCGTTTTTTGGTAATTCTCTTTAGAGTTTGTCACAGTCATAATCCCCTAGTTTTATGTCATTAATATGTCCTGATGTATTCCTGATTTCACACATAATAAATAAATTATTTTCTAATTACCTGAAGATCCATCACAGCTCCTGTATGACCACAATACTTAATTGGAACCCCTCCACACAGGTACGAGCGGAGACCTAAACAAAAAAAAAGAATAAAGAATTACACATATATATATATATATATATATTATAACTAATAACAAATAAACATTACATGGAAATATTTCTGTGTCACTGCATACAAGATGTGCAAGGATGAATTATTACATACGTACATTCCAGATCGACACCGCAACCCTCATCGGTTGCCCTGCTATCGCTTTTTATGGGTTCTGCTGAATGAGCACTGCAAAATGCAACAAACGTTCTACTTTATTTACACATTATACTTATTACACTTATTATCCCGTCGAGACATTTATTTTTAAAGTGAGAAAAGCGATTTCACACACTAATAGCCTATTTCAATCTACATAGATGGCATACACTAGCCATCACCCACAAAACAGATAAAACCCAGTGTTTCTGAACACGTGTATACAAATACTAAAAATAATTATTACACACACCAATTTTGTAATCACAATTCCAGAGAATGCTGATGATGCTTATGAAACAATTTTTCCTCCTAAATGGCATCATGTGTATCATGATAATCACAATAAATATCAATCTGTGCATGTACACGTATGCACGCACACACACACGTACACGTACACACGCATATTTGTATAGTTTTAAAATACCTGGTATCAGCGGGCATATTGCTCACTTGTTTCTCTGCTGGTATCAATGACTTCTGCTTACATTGCTTCTTGCTCGGCTTTACTAACTTTTTCTTTTTTCTGCCAGTGCAAAAGCAAACGCCATTATTTATGAAATATAGGAAAGATAAAACAGTGACAATTGACATTGCTACTGTTAAACATGAAGATTTTGATGACACAGGTGAGACAGTTGAACAATGTTTAAACCTGTACTTTAACCACCCTGATGAGACAACCTAAGCACCAAATAAATAAATTTAATAAATTTTGCTCTATTATATCACAGCTCAATTAAATAAATGATAAATAAAGAGGAAATTAATAATAATATACTAAATAATTAATAAATTAATAAATAATAATAATAAAAAAAAGAGACCTAAAGATACATAAGCGTGATAAAGATTTTTGTTCTATTATTTAGTATTTCACAGCTCAATAGGTGTGGCACCCACGTTCACAGCATGCAGCAGTATTAGAACGGGGTTCACCCTTCGTTCACTCACCCCTTCATCTTCTTCCCCTGTTTTAGAGAAGCCTGTGCGAGCTTCTTCGATTTCTTCTCGCGTTTCCCCCTCACTGGCTCCTCCTCCTCCTCCTCAGAGCCCGTTCTCGTTCGTTTCCTCCGTTTACCTGACCTAGCCTTCCCGCTGGTACCCGCCTGCGCCTCGCGCGCTTCCTCTACGAAGTTCCCACCAGGGGGCACTGCCATTATGGCGTTCATACCAGGCGGCGCCTCTTGAACGGCGGCGGACAGCTGTGAGACGACACCGAGGTTTGCGTACTCTGCGAACGCCATCTCGCTACTGTTCCCCGTCATCGCAAGCTCCGCCTGAAGCTGCAGGAGCAGTGACGCGCTCAGCGGACCCAGGTACGCGATGTTCACTTGTTCCGCCGCTGCGGGGTCGCCCGCCGCCGCGTCCGTGCTGGGGGGCGCAGCGGGCGATGGCGAAGGGGAGGAGCTGGCGGTGAGTGGATTCTCCTGCTTCATCTCCTCGGGTTTGGAGGTTGTCGCGGGAGAGGAGCTGACGTTGCTAGGGGTGACGACGCGTGTCCGCCTGCCTGCTCTCGCACCTTGTAGCGAGGAGAGAGAGATTCGCATTACACGCACCATTATTGCATTATACATATATAATATATATATGTACATATAATAGAAGTAAAAACATACAGACACCAATGTAGGAATAGAAAATTATGATATAGAAAAATAGAAAGTGTCAATTTTGTATTTTGCAAGCTTTCGAGAACATATGTCTCTTCCTCAGGCTTTATAGCTAGTTGTAGCCCAACACAGGCCGAGTTACGGGGTATTTATGAGAAAGATTTATTTGCAAACAATCAGCTTATAGTCAGCTTGATACGCTAATAGCAAAATTAACCTACTATCGGCGTTGAAAGATAGACAGTCGAGATCAACGATTTTTCTAACAATAGTAGCAGACATAGTAGAGAATAACACGTATGTAAATGGGATTAGCTGTGGGTCTATATTCTACATTAGTGTTGTCAATCGGTTGTAATTTAGTAATCGATCATCGGTTGGACCCAAATAACCGATGATCGGTTACAATCGGTTACTCGGGGTGTTGAATGCCTGCGTGTGCGTCGTAACGTCTTCATGTACTGTGTGCATGTATGTGCTGTTTAGCCTGTTTTACTAGCGTGTTTGTATAATACATGTATGTTAAAAAGGATAACATGTAATAAGCGTAGCGATGACGTCTCTGATTCTCATCACTTTTCCAGTTTGCTTGTTGCAAGTTTACATTTATTTCTTTTCTTTTTCCCCGATGAAATCGATTATGGATTTTGATATACACAAGCAGCTTGGTTACGAGCCACTTTCAACCGAACGATCGAGTATGAATCGATGATGGGTCGAATCTACTATTCTAGATTGTAGAAAATACTTCACCTTGTCACGATGTTGCTTTCCTTTCCTGGTGCATGCGTCACTCTCTCGTGTATTCAACTGCAAAACAATAAAGTACTCTGGTAAAAAGAGCATAAATTCATTTACTTCACACTTATCACGCCTTTCAACTTTACCACCCTTCCTTTATCTAATGTAACTTTCATCTCGCATTTCTTTAAACAGTGACCACATACTAAGCACTATGATAAGTCAGTCTTCAATATGATTCAAGCATTATCAGAATGCACAACACGCTCAAAAATATTTTTAAATCCGGCGGACATACGAAATAATATATAAACAAGAAAAATAAGAAGAAATAAATAAATACCGAATCCATACTTGGCTTGTTTTCCTTCGTATTGCTCTCGCGTTTGTTCGGCACGGGCGTTAAGGTAAGTGTGGTTGCATCTCAGCTGCCCTCCTCGTCACCCTTCGCCTCCTCCCTCCTCACGGATATCAGTCAGCAGCCGGCCACCGTGATCGCCTGCCCCTACGCGAATCAGCGGCGGAGACGCGAGAATGCTGCGAGTGTTCGCTTGTTCGTCAGCAGACAAATGCGCGCCCCGATCGACGCTCTAACCCGCGCCGATCGAGGCAAACGCTGGCGCCCCTAGTGCGAAACCGGCGAGATCACGCGTTACGTGCGATGCGCGGCGGCTGTCGGTAGACTGCGCGTGTGCGTGGCGTCACCGGTGTAATCGGCACCACCATCGCGTCCCCACCGTCAGTGGGCGTGTTGGGGTTCCGTGTGTAGTGGTCAGCCGCATGCGAATTGTATATTGCGCTAGTATGCGTATTACAGAAGGCGCCCTCCTACTGTGTTGGAATCACAACGTGTTTGCTCTACGAATGGCGCAGTCGTCCCCACCAGCATGTTTCGCTGTATGCGTGGTACTTCCGTCTCTGCAGTAGATTGACTATCTACTGCGCTTCTGCAGGAAGATTGCATTGACGGCTGCTCTCGCACGCGCATCAGCACCGGACGCCTTCCGCGCATCCGGGCTTCTCTCCGCGGCCAAGACGGTCGTCGTTATATCCCTTGCCTCCATGAGAGAGACCGCCCGCCTCACTGCTCGGCAGGCCTCCTCCCTTCAGCTCACGCTTTATGCCACGCGGATGACCGTGTTGACAATCGGCGCGAGCCCGGCAGGGCGCTGCCTGGCGACGCGGCACCACCGACTTTCCGCCCGAATCAGGATTGCCACTTCTAGGATTTCGCGCTTTTCGATCCGCGGCGCTGACTCGCCGGCTCATTGTCGGCTTGCGTCCCAAGACATGACAGCCGCCTGAAAACTCTCGTGAGTTCCGCTAGAGGAAGAGCCCCCTGCAACGCTCAGGCGCCGCCTCCATCTTGTCCGCTGCATCGTGCACGCCGGCGCCCGCCTTGGCGCGCCTCCATCACCGCGACGACAGGAAGCCCGGCCTTTCCCTCCCGCGTTCGATGCCTGGTCGAGGAACAGACGGCGGCGTCGCCCTTGGATGTCGCGCTTGTTCCCTCGCTGAATCGTACCGTGCCTGATTTGTAGCCGATGGGAGCGTCGCCATCTTCCCAAGTAAAAGATAACAGTGGCATGTTTAAAAAATGCAATCTTTCAAACGCTTCTCACTGGATCAAGACGATTTAACGTACACGTACGTGACTACCACTTTATAACTATCGTGTTTGCTAACTTGACTGTGCGAGTTTAACAAAAATGACGCGCAGCAGCTTCGATTGCATGCCGGCAATAACGATTATATTATATGTCACGTTGTCTCCAACTCTTAACAATCTGATTCTCTCCTAACCTTACTCTCATACTCCTGACTCGCTAAAATTCACTGATTCTGAGTCTGATCTGACCTGAAAAATGAAGCGGCGTCTTTGCCGATGGCATCGCATACATTAATATTATATGTGCACGGCAAATCGTTACTTCTAATCTTCCTTGCTATTCTCAACTGATCTAGATACTACATAAATTGAGATATAACAATCTAATTAGCACCGACGTCAGGGTTTCACTGGATGAACAAACTGCAATACAACCTGGTATAGGGAGAGCGTGTAGCGGTGTCCATCCTCCACTGCGCCAGTGTCCACAGGACTCAGTGTTCTCAGTCAATCAGATACTCATTTCCAGGCATGGAGTAATCGTTATCCTTCCCCAGGGGATTCCTCCATGCTTCACCGGAGCACCCACTAGCGCCGACGACCGCGAAGCCGTGCAGCGAGCCCTTTCGCGCAGGCACTGGTGTGTGCGGGCAAAACGGTAAATCCGCGGCTGGCGCAAAATTTTTATCGTACTAAACACCGGATTGCAATTCAAACCATGTCATGCATAATATGCAAGAGCTATATAAATACCCTAGAGTGTACCAACGGAAAACGGAAAATAGTGCTATTTCACGGCAATATATTCACTTTGTATGCCGTTCTAGACTAAGTGTCATGGTATTGCATTAACAGCATTTCTTTTGCTCTCTAAAAATAAGACCCCCAACCGCTTGTCTCTACGAAACTCCTAGGCCGAGATGATTGGAGCGTAAAATCATGGCCTCCCCTCAGGCCTCCTGGTGCCCTCCACCTCCACATATTCACTATCCTTTCGCCTTTTGCGGGTGTGGCTATCGTTTCAGCTATAGAAGTACGTATGTAGTCTCAGCGTAAGAGTATAATTTGACAGCGGGTTGGTCTTGTTTAGAGGCAAAAGAATTGCGCTTAATTGCAATACCATAAAACATATTGCTAAGACTCGCAGCAAAGTAGCATAATATTGACGCACTATTTTTCATGTTTTCCGTTCGTACACTAGGTATTTATAGCTTTGATAATATTAACGCGTAACTCAGGAAATTGAAGTTTATGTCTGATAGTGAACAAGCCACAAAAATCGTTAATTTCACGAAGTAAAGAAGCACACCTTAGAATGTTACCTATATATCTTCTGATATACCTATTTCCTATTATAGTTTTATTAATAGTATATATTTAGTTACCTTAAACTTATCCTCGTTGTGAAACTGGCTTGCATCTAGTATACTATTAAATAATGCTTCTCTCTATATATATATAAGCTAAGGTACTTATGGCCTTGACCACCAAAACCTGTTCAGAATTGTATGCGCGGATGGCAATCGTTAACTGTCAGCACGAAGCTTCCTTCGTAAACCCGGACGATTCCTGCTGCCGTATTGTCCTTCATTTCGCTCCAGATGCTGTCTTGCAACTCTAGATCCGCTAAAACAGGCGTCAACACCACCTCAACAATGAAAATTTCTGCGGTCAGTCAGAACGCATGTGCGAAATGTACAACCTGTTGTGCACTAATTGTGGAGCTAAGCGACCTACACAATGTGCCATAGTCCAATCTGCTATCGAGTCGATGACTAAAAATAGACCATACCTAAATCAGCAACTCTGGCAGGCAGTTCCAACATCATCCTCGGATACCCATTTGGCTCTTCTTCGCCGACACCGCTGCCCCGAGCCGAATCGAAGGACCATTTCGCGACGTGCCACATATTGATGTGAACGGTAGTGACATTTCTTGCTGCTGTTTAGCACTTGTATATCTATCAATGGCATTACTGTCAAATCGTGATTTTTCCTCTTTAAACTCTTCTTTCCTCTTCCATCTAATATAATGCATTTAAGGTTTCTTAATACACTATTTCAAAAAAAAAAGAAAATACAACAAGAATCCACGAGAACTACATAGAAATAGCCGAGCGAAAATGCAGCGTCACCACTTTACAAGGGAAAGTATCC